GCTTTTTTTTTCTTGATTATGAAAGGCATCATGCTAAAAAAAGTTACAAAGCCCAGAAACATATAAAGGAGAAAATAAAGATTACTCACAGTCGCATCCATGCCGTCCCCTTGAGGCGAGCGCTCTAACTGCAGGCTGGAGATACAGTTCATCTGCGATCCAACAGGGACTCTATCCTTGCAGATTATTTTTAAACATTTATCAGAACCTGTTGCTATGCTCTCAGGCTTCTTCTTCAACCACCATAGGAACAAACACCACAGTTTGTTTTTAATCTGCTTTTTTTGTCCTCATGAAATGGATGTGTTTCAGGGGCCGGCCCAGTGGCGTAGTCGTGAAGCTTGCGTGCTCCGCTTCGGCGGCCTGGGGTTCGCAGGTTCGGATCCTGGGCACGGACATATGCACCACTTGTCAGGCCATGCTGTGGCGGTGTCCCATATAAAGTGGAGGAAGATGGGCACGGATGTTAGCCCAGGGCCAGCCTTCATTAGCGAAAAGAGGAGGCAACAGATGTTAGCTCAGGGCGAATCTTCCATACACACACACACACACACACGGATGTGTTTCAGGCTAACAACTATAGATCTGTGTGTCAGGTTTTGTTTGGTTAGTTCTGGAGGCTGCCTAGTATTTTGCTCCAGATATATAAAGAAATTTTTTTTAATCAATTCCAATAAGTGAACACTTTTCAATAAACTTTGATGAACTTTGTTTTCCATTTCAGTTATAGCAACCTGGTTCTCTTTGAACTTGAGCAAGAATACGTGAAACGTTTCTATCATTTAAAGTGTGTTTTATTTCTTAATATGGTGGATTCCTGGGAGTTGATTATATCATCTGGTTTATATCTTTTGTTGTGAATTAAATATTTAATAATAGTATTTTGAAACCACTGGAATAAATACAATCAAGGCAGCTTTCAGAGAAACTAAAAATTGACGTTTAGAAAAAGCTCTATAGGCTGGCCCCGTGGAATAGTGGTTAAGTGCGTGTGCTCCACTGCTGGCGGCCGGTGTTCGGATCCCGGGTATGCACTGATGCACTGCTTGTCAGGCCATGCTGTGGTGGTGTCCCATATAAAGTGGAGGAAGATGGGCACAGATGTTAGCTCAGGGCCAGTCTTCCTCAGCAAAAAGAGGAAGACCGGCAGATGTTAGCTCAGGGCTGATCTTCCTCACAAAAAAAAAAAAAGAAAGAAAGAAAAAGCTCTATACCTTTCAAAATCTTTTTAGATAGTTTCATTGTACCCAAGGAAATTTATCATTTTGTATTCCATCCAATTAAGTGGAGAAATACAAGTTTATAAGATACACACAAGCAAATTGCACAACTGTTTTCTCAAAAACTGACATAACAAGGAGAGATGTTAATTCAGATTTTTCCTACCTACTTTTTATGAGTTCAGTTGCTAAAACGGACACAAAATTCGAAACTTACATGAGGATTTTGAAATAAATAATATTTGCACCTTTAAAATTCTGCCTTTCCTACCTTCAGGCCCTATTTTTAAAGTCTGGTCCTTTATTTGAAAACGAAGCAATTTGTGGATACAATATTGAAAATCCAAGATGACATAATCAGACTTTTACCCTTTAATGTTAATACAATCTGAGTTCAAAACAGTACTCAAGGAACAAATAGGGGGAAAATCTCCCCAAAGCTTTATTTTCAAACTAATAGTATGAACCTATAGTGTTGATTTTTGTAGCACATATAATCTTTCAAAGCTTCGCACAGTGTTTTAAAGTTTGAAGTTAAAGACTTGTGCTCTTCTGTACAAATTTTTATGTCCATGGGTTTTATCCCCTAATTGGTCTTTTTTCCATGCCCAAAAGTATAGCTTATTTTATTTTCTTTCAGCTGATAAAGTTTATGATCAAAAAATGTATTTTATATATGTAACGGTAAGGCAAGAGTTCCCTTATTTAGGACATGTTTGTAATATAATGTTAAATGGGCCGGGGGAAGGACTTAAAATTGTACACACACTAAGATTATTTTTATGTGAAAATTCAAAGGAAAAAATGTAACAAAATTAGCAAAAATTAATTGGTGGCCAGCGTGGGGGGAGAACAGATTCGTTTGCTTGCTTATTTTTCCCTTTTTCCTACATTCCAAGTGTTTTGTGATTTCGTTTGCTTATGAAAAAAAAAACAACTAAAAATGAAAAGACGTTTTAAACACAAAATAATACAAAGTCTATTTAATTTCATCTTCCAAAAATATATTTTATTGGGCTTTTTTGTGCTTATAAGAGTAACTCATGTTCATAGTGCAAACATGGAATACTTAGAAAAAATATAAAAGAGGACATTTAAAAATTACTGATATCTAGAGATAGTCCCCATTATCATTTTGGTGTATGTACTTTGATTCTTTTTAAAAGAATAATTGTTTAATGGAATTGGAATTGGAGTATATGTAGAGTTTCTTTTCTTTTTCCTTAAACATCAGGAGCATTTTCCGTGATTTACTTTTGTTTCGAATATTATTTTTGGTGGTTGCTTGAGTCTTCAGTATGAATATCCTAGGATATACGTGTCATCATTCTGTCATTGTAACCTGCTTTTACAGATCATGTTGCATTGAATATCATTGTACAAAAAATTGTCACTTTTCCCTTTTTCCTTGAGATGAAGTCCGAGAAGTGAAATTACTAGGGCAAAGGGTAAAAACATTTAAAATGCCCTTCTTATCTTTCCAAACTACCTGACCAAAAGGGCTTTAATTTATGCATCCGTGGTTAATGATAGCATCTTTTCATTCTAAAAAAGAAGAAATTTTTTTTTTTTTACTATTTTAAGATAAAAAATGCATCTCGTTCTTTCAATGACCATTCTTTTGATGACTAGTAAGGCTGTAGTTTGCCAGCCTGCTGTTGTTCTTTTCTGTCAATTATGTATTCAAGTCCTTGGTCCATTTTTTTGTCCCTGTTAGGATGCATTTATTTCTTATCCATTTTAATAAGTTCTTGATAAACCAGAAATATTATTCCTTTAGTTGTAACACTTATGACAGATCTCTCCCCGGACTGTTCTTTGGCTTTTCATTTTGTTTATTACCACTGTTGGCATGCACGAGTTTGCATGTTCACATAGCGAAATATATTGGTTTTCCTTTGTGATTTCTTCCAGGGCTTTTCATGTGTTAAAAACGCATCTCCACGCTCACCTGAATGTTCCATCTAGATTATTAAATGTCTTCTTTTTATGTCTTTAATTCGTCTGGAACTATTTGAACGAATGGCATGAAACATAAGTGGAACTTGACTTTCCCCAAACAGCCAATTCTTTCGTTACAGTGATTGATACTGCTTTTCCCTTTTAATTTGCAGTTCTTCTTTTTATCATGTGAGAAGGTTTTACATTTACTAGAGTCCCCTTCTGGGCCATTCCACTCTATTTCATTCATCTGTCTATTCTTGAACCAACATCTCACAATATTTTTACTGAAACTTTATTTTTTCATATCTGGCAAGGCAAATTCTCCATATCATTTTGTTTCAAAAACATCTTAGTTATTCTTATCAATTTAGTCATCCAGACGACGTTTAGAATTTTGAGACATTTCCCCCAGATCACGTGGAACTTTGATGGGTATTACATTTGTTCCCATCCAGGGCCACGGTAGAGCTGTAGTTTTCTTTAAGTAGGTCCTGCTTAAATCTTAGTATTTCTAAAAAATGTATTGTGACTGTCATACAGTGGATTTCCCCAATCACCCCTGCTCAGGCTACTAGTACTAATTATTGTTAGAATAACAGAAAGAAAGTTATTTTTTTTTTGCTATTCATTTTGTATGTAGCTACTTGCTCAACTCTATCACCAATTCTGAGAGTGTCTTAAATGCTCGTTTTGGGGTTTCTAGATGGGCCAGCACACCTGCAAATAGGGATGCTTCGCTGTCTTCTGTTTGACAGTTACCCTTCCCGCTCCTGTTTCGTGCTTTACGGCGTTGTTTAGGCCTTGCAGAGAAACGTTCCCCTGGCACGTGATAAAGGCATCCTTGTTTTCCTCCTGATTTTAATGGGAATGCTTCTGGTACTGACCATGTTCCATCGTCTCTGATAGTTGAAATACCTTTTTAAAACCGTGTTCAGAAAGTCTCTCTCGTGGAAATGACACGTGGGAGGACTAAAACTAGATGCTAATTTTTTAAACAAAAGGGGGTGATGCCTCCAGCTGCAGTGCGGGCGCCAGGTCTTAACTACAAACCCTTCGGCAGAACTGCATTCTTGACTCTGCATGAATTACGGCTCACTCTGCTTTCGCTTTAAAAACGAACAGCAGCAAGGATAAAAACACAAAAGCTTTTATTTCCAGTTTTTAAATAACTCTCGAGTTTCAAGAACGGATGGCAACGTTTTCTATGGCCTCTCGGAGCCAGTGTGAAGACGACCAGGCTGTCCCCGTCACCTGCCCGTTTCAGATTTCCAGGGGTCGGGTCAGCCTTGCGTTTCCTGAACAAAGGCCCGCAGTCAGGATCAGCGTCAACGGGGATTGGGGGGCATTTGGGGCAGGGTTCTGAAGCCTGACGTCGTCCTGGAGGGGCCCCCCGGCCGTGGCTCGGGGTCAGCCAGCGCGGGGCGGCCACCCGCTCTGTCCGGTCTCCACCCGGGAATTGCCCTTCCGGGAACTTTTCCCCCAAAACCCCCACGGGCAGAGCCTCCTGGCCCGGAGCCTCCGGAGGCGTTCCCTCTCTGCTAACTTTCCCAGCTTCTTCCCCGGTTCTCTCCGAGCCGCTTTTCGCAATCCGGTGCCCTCTGCTTGGTTTCTACGGGTCGCCCCCCACCCCCGGCGGCCAGGTGGACGCTGCCGGCGGGGACGACCCGGCCCATCGAGCACTTGGGGCGGGAAGGGGGAAGGGGTACGGGGTCCCAGTCCAGCTCCGCCTGGCGCCGCCGCCGCGCATGCGTCCTGGCCCCGCGCCGGCGCCGGCTGGACCCTCCCGCGTGCCGTCCTTTCCCGGCCTGCCCCGCGCGGCCGCCCCCGGAAGTGGACCTCGCCGCCTCGGGAGGAGTGAGTTGGTGGCCGAGCCCGGCGGGTTGTTGGCGGCGGCGCAGGGTGGCGGAGCCCGAGGGGCAGGGGCGGGCCGGGTTGCCGCCATGGCCGGGAGTCAGGACATGTTCGACGCCATCGTGATGGCGGATGAGAGGTGGGTGGCGGGGCTGGGCCGGGACCCGGACCCCCGCCTCTCAGGTCCGCGCTCAGCGGCCGGGCTGGGGGGTCCCGCGGGCGTGGGCGTCGGCGGAGCGCCCCGTGGCCCCGAAGGCGGCGGGCACGTGTGGGGCTGAGATGGTATTGATTCTCCTTTACTCCTCGGCCCTCCGGGCCCGCCTCCCCCGTCCGGGGCTGCCCCGAGCATCTGCTCGGCCCGATGACCGCCTTCCTCCGGGGACGCCCCGTCCTCGGGTGGAACGGACCCCTGCCATCTGGGCGCTGCCCCTTTTCCTTATTCATAGTGGTGGGCCATACGGCAGCATTCATGGACAGGCTGATAATAAATGTGTCAGACGTCGTCGCTTTCCCTCCGGAGCCCCTGGGGAGCCCTTAGGCCGGTGACAGGGCGAGGGGGAGGAGTTGGGAGTTGTTTTCTGGCTGTCTTCAGCGCCCGGCCCACTTGAGACGTAAAAGACGTCGCTTAAGAAAGAGTGAACACTTAACCATCAGTCGCTGACGTGTATTTGGAGCTTCCTGTGCATCTGACATCGCGCTGAGTGTTGGACCCCCCTCGTCTATTTTAGCCCCACTTGTGAAGTGGATCCTGTTATTCACCCTATCTCATAGATGAGGAAGGTCACTTCAGGGTGACACAGCCAATAAGTGGGAGCTGTACTCTCTGCCTCCTTGGGGCTCCACACACTCCCTTCATCTTAGGTGACTGCAGGTTAAGGTGGTGCTGCTTCCACTATAGAGCTCTCAAAATCAGAGCCTTCGTTATACTCCAAGCACCACGGTCACCGTACGTTTGTGGTCGCCTGATGGCGTTCCTCTCTGCTAGTCTACTGAGATGTGATGAGAAGCCCTGTATATAGTGCAGTTTTTTGAAGCAGTTGACCAAGTCGTGTAGCTTATAGCCTCCCAGAACTCTGGCTTGCTAACAGGCTAGAGTCACCTAGGAGATTTTGAAGACTAGATTCCTGGGCCTAACTCCAGACTTACTGAATATCAGGGGGCGAGGCTCTTGAGTTTGTATCTTTGAAATTTTCCCTTGTGTTTCTGGTATTCTACCAGGTTTAGGAATTGCTAATTTAGCCCATCCTCCTCATTTTGGAAGAGGCAAATTGGGCTTCAAGAGCTACAGCGACTTGCCAGAGGAGAGACTTAGGAAGGGTGGAACCTAGGTTTTCTGACTTAAATTCTGTACTTTCTCTACTGTGCTGTGCCCTGTCTTGCTGGGTCTGGGTAATACGGGAGAGAAAAGATTTCCCAGGAAAAATACTCGTTCTCATGTGTATTTGATCAAACTTGTTTCTTCTCCATCACAGGTTTCATGAGGAGGGGTATCAGGAAGGCTATGAAGAAGGCAGCAATTTGGGTATAATTGAAGGAAGACAACATGGCACGTTACACGGAGCTAAAATTGGATCTGAGGTAAGGGGGAACCCCCATTTGGAAATGAATCCTTTTCCTTTACAGTTTATAATTTGTTTTGATGATCCGTATGATGGAGCCAGAACTTCAGGCCTCTTGAAATGGCAGTAGACTAGCTAGAATGTTGATGGGGAAATATTCTTAGTGCAGAACCACCAGAGCATACTGCTGTATAGAGAATGAAATTATGCGGGCTGGAGAATGAGAAGACAAGTCCTCCGTCACCTCATTTACATTGGGGTGTCCTGGTGCTGCCTCGTGTCTTCAGCCAGCTGAATCCTCACCCAAAGAAGGAGTGCCGTGTGTCACGTGAAAACATTCCATTCACATGTGCGTTGAAATTCCATGAAATTTATAATTTTCCTTTTCTTCTGCCCTTCATCCTAGATTGGCTCTTGCTTAGGGAGAACTGGCCCTAAATGGCAAAGTCTGAGGCGGTCATGACTGTATTAGATGGCTGTTGCTGCAAAACGAATCTCCACAAAACGCACAGGCTTAAGACAGCAAACATTTTAGCATCTCATACAGCTTCTGAGGGTCCAGAGTCCAGGAACGGCTGAGCTGAGTGGTTCTGGCTCGGGGTCTCACGATGTTGGGGTCAAGATATCAGCCAGGGCTGCAGTCATTTGAAGGCTTGACTGGGGCTGGGAGACCCACTTGTAAGGTGGCTCACTCACACAGCTGTTCTCGCCATGTGAGCCTCCCCGCAGGGATGCTTGAGGGTCATCAGGACACTGGAGCAAGTGGTCCAAGACAGCAAGGCAGAGGTGACGTTGTCTGTTATGCCTGGATTCAGAAGTGTGCGCTGCCTCTTCCCCTGTGTTCTGCTGGTTATATGGGCCACCCTGAGACAGTCAGAGGGGACTGCACAAGGGCATGAATACCAGGGCACGCGGTCAGTGGCACCGTCTTGGAGGCTGGCTACCCCACTGATGCCTTGGCCTCCTATCTTCCGTGGCCTGATGCTCAGCAGGTTCTCCCAGAACAGCACTATAAGAAGCACCACTGCCCGCTGCCCCTACCTCTTGTTTGGAGAGTGGACAGTTAGGTCAGGGGTAGCTTGTTGTTTATTAATCTCACGCTGAAATGTTTTGTGAATTCACAGATCGGGTGCTACCAAGGTTTTGCCTTTGCCTGGAGATGTCTCCTGCACAGTAGTGCCACTGAGAGAGACAGGTGAGGCTCGAGACTTCCTTCTTCTTCAGTGTGGGCACCAGGAGTCCTGGTTCCACAGCTTCCTGTGACCTTGGACGTTAATGTCTCAGTCTCCCCATCTGCAACATGGAGAAAATCATCAGGCCAGACTTGAATGTTGTCGTGAGATTTATAGGAATAGCAGACAGGAAGTGTGGACACGTTTTCAGTGTTTGGTGAGCACTGGTTGTTACTACTTCTCAAGAGTTCTCACCCCCCTGCCTTTTCCCTGCAGGTCTGAGAGCACTGAGTGGCTTTTAGATAACCTGCCGACAAAATAATGTTGAAATGGGTTGCATGTTCTCATTCATTTTTCCCATAAGCTTCTATTAAACAGTACAATAGTCTTGGCATGACTGGGGCTCAGGAACAGTGACTCTGTTGTCACCAGTTTTTTAACGTAGGCAGCTGGGGCTGTTAATGAGAATGCATGTAATGTTTCACACCTGTCTGGTACTTGAAAGCATGGAGTAGATGTTGGCTCTTGTTTGTATTGTTCGTAGCCTTTTTAAACTGTTCTTACCGTGTGCCACCTACTGAAGCCCTGTGACCGTGTTGCATCTGTCTTCATTCTTAAGCTGGAAATGACCCCTTAAGTACAAGGCACACATGGTTTGGCCGTCCTGCTGCTCATGGGAGCCAAACTCGTGGTGCCCCATCATTCTTGTGCCCCTCATGGTTCTGATGCCTGGTGGCTTTGCCCAGTCTGGGAGAGGGTGAGGAGAGTGGGTAACAGAGCAGGGAAGGTGGCATTTCCCTGTCCATGCGACTCGTTGTCTTATTTGAAATATTTTGAATTTCTAGAATTTGGGCCACCGCCATATTCAAATGTAAGAACAAGGATGCTCGCACCTGAGTGTGATGATTCTGGGGTTGCCTGCCCTCGGCCTCGTCCGTGTCCCGGGGCTCCATTTGCATGAGTAGTTGGGAGTGGCCTGCACTCCTACGTTAGCTGAGGGGCTCTGTGAGGACTCAGCGGGAGCGGGAGCGGCAGGGTGGCCTGTGATCTGGCTGGAATAGCGGTTGGCAGCCTGTGGCGCCACTGGGTGGCAGTCAAAGCCGAGCTCGGCTCTCCAGTCGGGTCCACAAAAGGGCCAGGGGAGGCTCATCCTTGGAGTTCCCCGTCAGTCTCTTCTCCCCAGCACCAGTCTGCTGGCTCCTGGAGGAGCGCCGCATGGTGCGGGAAGGTCCCACGCCCAGGGGGCTGCAGCCCTCGCCCCGGAGCGGGAGTTCCCTGACTTCTTAAAGCTGTGCCCAGCCTGTGTGTCAGGTAGGGGAGGACCCGGGGTGGTTGGCACGAGGCTGGTGGAAGGCCCCCCCACCACAGTGCCTGAGGGGCTCCCTGAAACACAGCCTCAAAGCCTTTCTCTTGGGGCAAGGGTTGGCAGATTTGGGGGTTTTATAAGTCAGTACAATTTTTTAGAAATGCTAGAAGGCTGTTAGAGGATCTTGTGCTTCATGTCCCAGGGAAGGATGTTAGAAGAGAAACACCTGCCCTCTGCGTGGTCATGCTGTAGAATAAGGGGCTTTAACACCCACGAGGCCACAGGGAGCCTCGTGGTCTCACAGGAAAGGATGGGGCTTTGTTTACGTCGGGGGCCGGAGCTTTTTGACAAACGCGGAGAGGCGTCTTTGCCCGTGTGCGGCCTGGTGAGACTGTATGCGGCCCGGCACTCGGCCCGGCCTCCGCTCCGGGGCTCTGGCATGGTCATCTTGGTTCCCTCAGCCGGGAGCAGTGCGCACCCTCCTGCCGTGCTGGCCTTGTCGGGGCGACGGGCTGGCGGTGTCTGGGGTGGCTGCGCTGACCAGAGAGGAAGAAGTCACTACTCGCGGAGTTGAAGACGGGTGGCGTTCCTGGTATCATGTGAGCAGACGGCCCTTTCCTGCAGGTTGGCCTCTGTCCTCCATCGCCCTGGAAACGGGGTACTTTGTTGCATTAGTTAACTTGCTTTGGCCTTTCCCAGGTTTGTATTTTCTCGGAGAGGTGGCCATCGTGGTCCTGATGAAGGGATTTGCCGTTGGCAGACTTACACACGTGTCTGAAAACAGCAAATGTTGGTAGGGGCTCCGGGGTCTTGGCTGATTACATTGCTGCAGGTCCCTCCTAAGGATCAGCTCTTTACAGATTGCCGTTAATCGAGTATCTGGCTTATTCCTGATGCCCTGATGATCAGACGTGCTCTGGGGAGGGTGCTCGCCAGGGTCCCCTGTGGTCCGTTACCCGGACGTGCTCACATGTGAATTGTTTGACCCACCCCGCCAGGTGAGAGCCCTGGCCTCCAGGATCCGGTGGAAGTGGGGTGACTACCATTTATTGAGCGCCTACTCTGTGATCGGTTCTGGGCTTTCTGTAGATTATTCATCCTCCTGAAAGCCCGTGAGGTCACTGTTGACCCCCCATTGTACAGATGAGGCCGCCAGGGCCCAGGGAAGTTGCGTGACTGAGTGCCTTGGAGCGGTCGTGCTCAAGGCTGCCCTTTCTGCAGAACCGCCTGGCCTCCCAGCAGAGCTCTCTGTCCTCCTGGGAAAGGGAGCTGAACTCAAACACCAGATGCTGATGTCTGCCCTCTGGAGGGGGCGGGCGGCTGACTGGTTTAGCTGCCGCTGCACTCCCAAAGGCCGGGAGCACGAGTTTCTCGGTCCTGGAAAATCCCCAGATCCAGAGCAGGCTTGGTCGTGCCCGGTGCTGTCTTTCTTGTTGAGTTTTGTCTGTTCCCATGTCTGTGACCCGGAGCAGCAGGCTGCCTCAGTCCCTCGGCTCCATGGCTGGGACAGAGGCATATCTGTAAGCTTGGTGCGCGCTGGATGGCGGGGTGCGGGGTGTGGGCGAGAGCACGTTGCTAGGAACCTAAATATTATTTAGTGTAATGAGAAAGTTAATCATCCAGCTTCTGAACCCAGGCGTGCTCTCACGCCCAGGGCCTTTAAGTTAGAGAGCGACAGAGTCCTTACGTAAGCTGAGCCTGCTGTGTACAGAGACTCAAAGTCTTTATTTCTGTGTTTTACAGCAAAAAGATGAAAGTCGTAGAATCGCTGATCGGAATGATTCAGAAATTCCCCTATGATGACCCTACTTATGATAAACTTCATGAAGACTTAGACAGAATTAGAGGGAAATTTAAACAGGTTTGTCCACTGTACGTTTGTTTGCGCCTTTCTCTGACTCAGCTGACCCGGCCCCGGGGGCTCACTCCGCAAGTGGTCTTGGGGCCGCCTGTGCCCTGCGAATGGTCAGTAGAAGCGAATCGTTTTTGCGTCTCGATGTAAGAAAACAAGGCAGTCTAGAGAACAGTGTTAGAACTTCTCTCAGGGTCGGTGGCGTAGACAGGAAAAGCTGCAGCTAGAGTCAGAGTTATGTTCTAATTTGGGAGTAAAAATACACGAGATTTAAAAAACCATCTTTTTTCTTTTGTGTTTTCAGCTTTGTTCATTACTAAATGTTCAGCCGGACTTTAAAATTAGTGCACAAGGTTCTGGACTTTCATTCTGAGGATGACAGATGAACAAAGACGAAACATCAAGGAACAGATGTCCGTATGTTAAGTGTTTAAAAATGTGATTAAAGGCAAAATGATGGGGTATTCATTGTCCTGTAGGGAGGGTTCCAGTTTGGCCAGTGAAAGGACTTCCTCCCCCAAGGTCTGCCTCTGTCGCTTCGGTGCCCCTACGGGGCCCTGCACATAGCCCGGCCTTTGTTGGCCCCTGTCTGCACTGCTGTCTGAGTGAGTCCCTGGCAGAGCGCTCACAAGGCCGCTCACTGCTGGTCCATAGTCTGTTGGCCTCACCACTCCTCCAGCTGGACAGGCCTTGCTGCTTCTAGACTGGGGTTGGCTCTGGGTAGGATTACCCCCAAGCCTGGACTCTGCTCAGAGGAACAGTTTTTTAAAAAAAGGATGGGATTGACATGAAATAAGTTAATGGGAAGTAATGACAAGCACTGTGACATCTGTTGAACTTGAAGACGCGCCAGGTCTGTGTGCTTGGCTTCCCATGTTTTATTTAATCCCTTCAGTAGCCCATGAGGTAGGTGTTATTCCCGTTTTTACAGATGAGGAAACTGAGGCCCACAGGGACTGTCTGGTCCAAGGGCACCAGGCAGCAGGGCTGGGGCTCTAATGCCAGCGCCCGTCTCACCACTGCCTTGTGCTGCCCGCTCTGGAATGTGTAGTTGCACCCACAGTTGGGACCCCTGCCCTCAGGTCCAGATGGCAGGTCCCCGCTGTGCTCCCTGGAGCTCTGGGGAGTCCACTGTGGCCAGTGGACGTGGGCATCTGGCTGAGAGGACGAGAGGCCAGCCTGGTCCCGAGGGAGCCTGGACACGCTCTTCACTCTGTCTTCAGATGGGTGTGGGGCTTTGCTGCATTAAAAATGGTTAAGGGGGCAAATACTATAGACTAAAGACTGAACGTCAGGCTACCATTGTATGTGCAGACTCTGCTGGAGCCTCGCATTGAGGACTCTGCGTCCTTGGAGTGTGAGTTCTTTCGTCTCTCAGCCCTCACAAGTGTGCCGAGGGAGAGAAAGAGCTGTCCGTTGTTGAAGGACGGGACTTGGGCTTTGTCCTGGCACGCTGTTTCAGGTGTGTGTCCCGCTGTGGACGTTCCTCATCTGCACCCCTCAGTTCTGGGGGAGTCCGTGTGCCGGGCGCTCTGCCTCAGACACGGCGCCTGTGCCACAGCTGGCTCCGGGAGCCACTGAGGCCAGCAGCGCTCTCGAGGCGGGGGCTTGAGGGGCTTTGGTTGTCTTCCTTGTGTTTCCTAAGTTACCTGTTTTGATCATGTATTATTTTTATAATTGGAGAAAAAAATAAATAGCCTATTTTCCAGCAGAAGGCTGTCCGGGACCATGTATAGTGTGACGTCCAGCCGGCTCATTCCTTGCTTTAAGGGGTCTGGGGTGGGGGGGGGGGGGTCTGAGTGCAAAGGAAGGCGTATAGATCGGGCAGCACCGTGCAGCTGTCTGTTGCCTTTCTGTCCGCATGTTTCATTAACACGTGTAGAAACCGTTACTGAGAGAGAACGGTTGCCCAGGATGTTCAGGAAAGGGTCAGTTCCTGCTGACCCTGGCCCAGCCACCTGCCAGCGCTTATTACTAATCCTTCCTGCCCCACACTCCCTCACTGTCTCTCTCAGCCTCGCCCATGGCAGGTGTTAGTCCGAGCAGCAGGCAGCCACTTCCTCTTCTGCTCTCCGTCCCATGGGGCCAGCTGCCTCGCTGATCTCTTCTTCGGGGCCCCGGACGCTGGACTTGACCGGTGCCCGCCCAGCTCCTTGGAGGACTTGACCCAGTTTCTGAGAACCCTTGGTCGCCCCAGACGGACCCGTGGATTATTGTGCACACAAAGCCCGCCTTCACAGTCACTGCCCCCTCCCTGGTCATGCTGTCTGCAGCGACCGGTCCAGGAATGAGCATGGCTCCTCTCTGGCCGATGAGATGGTAGTGGAAGTCTTCCGGGGAAGGGCACCTCACTCCTGAGAGAAGTATCTGTTTGGGAAGTTGTCCCATGGGGCTGTGGCACCTGGAATTACTACAGGCAACTTGTACCTCGGCTACAGATGCAGCCGCGCCTGGGCATGGCGGAGCAGAGAGCTGGAGAGGACCGGGCCCTGAGACATCTCCGGGCAGCTGGGCTAGCCAGCCCCTGAGCCGCTGTGCTTACGGCCTCCACGTTCTAGGAGCTGGTAGATGTCCTGGTTGGTCAGGGCCGTGTGGGTTGGGTTTCTGTCATTTGCAGGTGAAGGTATCCTGCTTGCCCTCTTCCCTGTCCCATCCTGTCCCATCCTGTCCCCTACTTCTCTGGGATGGTGACCCCTGTCCAGACTGGCCTTGAGTCCCAGAGCTCTGTGGGTTGGACTTCCTCCCTTCCCAAGGCTTTGCCTTACTCCCTGCTTCCTGTTGGAAACTCCCAGCATATTTTGTGCCACTTATGTGGCTAGGGCCACCATAACCAATACCACAGACTGTGCAGTTTACACAACAGACGTTTATTTTCTCACGGTTCTGGAGGCTAGAAGGCAGAGATCTGGGTGCGGGCAGGGCTGGTTCCTCCTGAGGCCTCTCTCCTTGGCGTGTAGACGGCTGTCTCCTCCCTGTGTCCTCACGTGGTCGTCCCTCTGTGTGTGTCTGCGTCCTGATCTCCTCTTCTCATAAGGACACCGGTCACACTGGATTAGGGCACACCCTCGTGACCTCATCTTAGCTTGATCACCTCTGTGGAGACCCCATCTCCGAATACAGTCACATTCTGAGTGCTGGGGGTCAGGACTCCAACACAGGAATTTGGGGGAGACAATTCAGCCCGTCACAGCCACCTGTCTGGCTGTCTGGACAGACTGTGAACTGAGGACTAGGAGAGAAGAAAGCCATTTTACTTAAAAGTTGAAGTCACTTCATTCTCTTTTTCTAGAATGTTGGTAATGGGAATAAGCAGATTGATCAATCCTCCACCTAAACTCACCACCTTGGAACCACACGCTTAGAGGCACCCTGGTGGCCAGCGGGAAATACCTAAGCACAGGCGACATCACCGTCCTGAAAGAGGGCCACATTTTACTTCTTTATTTCACATTCACCCCGTCATCTTTCTCCCCCCGGTGGTGAGAAAAGAATGGAGAGCGATGGAGGCAGGAACAAGAAGTCTGATTTACTGAGCGCTGCCGGTGGCCGCCTTTACCTTCCTCCTGTCACCAGACTGTCCACTGGCCCACTGAGGCGGGGCTGCTACCTGCTGTCCCAGACGGAGGCCCGGGCGCCCAGTGGAGTTGAGTGACGTGCCATGGTCACAGCAAGTGGCTGACCTCAGGCCCGCCTGAGCACAGCCGGGGCCTGAGGAGTTTGCTTCAGTGCCTCTTAGCCAGAACGGAGCCTCGTCCTTCTGATCATTTGCAGCCTGTCTCTGTCACCAGTCCTGCATCCAGTGGAATGAGGCAAAGACATGACTTCCCGGAAAAGGACCTTGCTTGCTGCTGTGGAGAGACAGTGACCAAATGGGCCATCAGCCCCCTGGATCCTGTGAGCAGGGCTCACCAAGGGAGTACGTGGCACTTGGGGAGCCCAGAGATGGGGTGGGGGTGTTCAGCTCTGCCTGGGGAATGAGGGAATGGGAAGGTGGGCAGGGAAGGCTTCCTGGAGGAAGTGACCCTCACACTCCTAGCTTTGTGAGCTTTCATTTGACCTCACCACGGAGAATTTGTCTTCCACCCTACCTGAGAACACCAGTGTAATTTAGGGGTGTCAAAAACTCTAACAGGCGAGGTCATCCTAACTCCCACAGTCATCCCAGTCCCATGGACGAAGGGAGCAACTGGTCCGTGACTCAGGAAACTGAGGTCACCGAGCTAGTGTGATTGATCAGAGGAGAGTGGGCTCTGCGATCAGTTCTCACAGGACACGAGAGTCCTACCGTTGAGGGAGCAGGCCCCAAAAGGTTCAGTGGCGTGTCCACGACATGACGAAGTGGCTCAGCGGGGGCCTTGTGGATTAGTTCTCCAAGAAGGTAAGTCACTCGTTGCTCGTGAGTTTTGCCATAACTCTTTCTTCCTGGCTGATGAAACTCCTCCTCACTTGGCATCGAGACCCTCACTCTGTCCCTCAGCTTTGGCCACATCTCCCTGGTGCCCTTTATGAAATCAGCTGGGTCTTGGGTTGCCGGGCCTGGAGCTTCTGTCCTGGGTGACACCTGGACGTGATCCTGTTTCTGCCCGCTCAGGAGTGTGGTGTGCCAGGGCAGCCCCAGCACCCTGTAGACGGTCACTGAACTGAAGACTTCATCCCCCCAGCAAGGATGTATTGAGCGTTTGCTGTTTCCAGTGGGTGTGTGCCTCTGCAATAGCAGGGTGCTTGTTGAACCTGCCCCGTAGGTTTCAGAGCTCACACACATCTGTGGCAGGTTGAGTCATGCCCCCCCAACAGATAAGCTGAAGCCCCAGCCCCCGGGACCTGTGAATGTGACCTTGTTTGGAAATAGGGTCTTTGTAGATGTAACTCAGGGCTAAGTTCAGATGGGTTGTACCAGAGTAGGGTGGGCCCTGCGGGTCCTTATAGCGTGAGAAGACGCGCAGAGAGGGGAGTGCCGTGTGAAGACACTCAGAGGGGGAAGACGGCCGAGCGAGGACGGAGGTGGAGGTGGGAGCGATGCAGCTGCAAGCCAAGGAACGTCAGGGAGTGCCAGCAGCCACCAGGGGCTTGGAGAGAGCACAGCCCTGCCAACGCCCTGATTGCAGACTGCCAGCCTCCAGAGCTGTGGGAGAATAAATGTCTGTTGCTTGAAGCCCCCCGGTCTGTGGTCATTTGTTCCAGCCGCCCCAGGATGCTCACAAGGTCTGTTTCTTTGTCTGGGCTGTCGTTTGCCTGTCCCCAGAGCGTGGGCACTGGACACACGAGGTCCAGACCCTTCCTGGCCTGACCTGCGGGGGGCTGGGGGTGGGGTCAGAGCTACAGAGTGGAGAATGGCGGATGCCCCAGAGCAAAATCTGGGCGCTGTCAGCACCGGGAGGGGGACTGGTGCTGGCACGAAGACCAAGCACTCCACTGTATGAGCCAAAACCGGGAATAAGTATGGCCCCAATGCCACCACC